TTAATTTATCTGTGAATAAAGCCACTGACAAAACTCACTCACCAGATGTCACTCCCTACTGTCAATCAGATACTCAACAGTTTAAATCCCAGCAGTGACCAATGCTTCATTTTTTTTGCTTGTTTGTTTTTTAAGAAAAGAACTAAAAACTCACATAAATCTTAAACAAACTTGGAGGTTTTGCTTTGTGCCCAGCCTTTCCCTCCTTGCCCCCACCTTGCTCAAGTTTATCCTTTACCATCATACTCTACTCCCTCCCCTCCATCTCATCTCTCACCATTTGGTCTTTATAATAGAAAATAATTTAAAAAATAAAATAAAAATATATTAGTTTTATTAGTGTCCGAAAGCAAAAAGTTGCTATAAATGCCATCCAATTGCCCCTTTTCCAAAATCCACCACCAAAACCTGGATTAAAGCTAACACAACTCTGCTGACCCTCAGAAGAGAAAACGTGCTGGGGATTTCCTTACTGCTCCACCATTTAAATGTACTCTGCTAGGTGAAGTGGCAGAGCTTCCTTAAACTGGGGCTCGATCCTACAAGAACCAGCACTGAGGTCCTATTCTAAGAAACACAAACGTGAGCCAAGGCACAAGGCACGTAGATGTTTTCAGTAAGGCTGTGGGGACTGCTCATGTGCTGGAGTATTCAGGGGGTCACTAGCCCCTGCTTTGGGTGGCGGAGTGACTTCATGTAAGGTTTTGAGCTCATAGGCACCTGTGGTAGATAGGTGTACACATTTATAGACCGTTTTCTAACTGATCTTGAGCTCTGACATCCTTAGATGGTGGTGCCAGGTGTATGACATGAAGGAGTAGATGGCAGGTCCACTGACCTGCACACATAATTTTGAGCTTTGGGCCCTTGCTGGACACACAGAGCTGGGTACCTGGGCAGGGGTGGCCAGCAGCCAGTGAGCCCCAATGTCCCTGCTCTCCTATTAATGGACATAAAAGGTGGCAGTGGACCTGAAGAAATGTCACTGCCACTGCTACCAGCCCTCAGGCTGCACGTGTAGACCCACAGCCATGGCTGTATGAACATCTCCTGGGCAAGGTGCAGCAAAGGGCTGTGACCTGTGGGTCTGCGATGCCACAAGTCACCTGCTAGAGGCTCCAAGCAAAACACCACCCAAACTCCAACAGAGCTTGAAGTACCTCTTTCTAGACTACATCTGCAAGAACACATTTGCAGCAGACTGCCCCAAACGGACCGTGAGAACACCACCCCCCTGGAGGTGCTCACCCAGTAGCCGCAGGACATGCAAAAGCACAGAGAAAATAGCTGCAGTGTGCAAAATTGTGGTCATCTTGGGAGACCTGCCAAATTGCTGGGGCTTGGAGCTCCAGATTCATCCATCCTTAAGACCTTGGCTATAAGGTAGCTTCTGTGTCAGATAAAATCTATCCAATGACATTTTATTTGAGAAAGTGCCATCCATCCAGAGTAAATGAACCTTTTCTTTATAATCTATTTGGTTCATCTCCAAGATGTGGCAGAACACCTTGTACATGGGGATGTGACCAAAAACATCTTCCGTGTCAAAGCTTTCTTATTCCCTCCTGAGCTTCTGCTGTGAACACCACAAAGTCCCATTTCATGAGAAACATGAAATCTCTGGTTCACATTTGTATTTAATTATACATCAACTGTCTTTCTGACTTCTTCTTTTGTAAGAGAAGAGCGATTGAAATTGCTCCTGTAATGGAGAAGTGCAGTCTATTTACTTCTTTGTTGTAATCAGGAATTTGACAAAATATTTTTTCAAAGCCTTCAGCCAGTAAAATTATTTAGGCCATCAAGGTTTTGGCCAGGCAGCGTAAGGCAGACTATTTTCCTCACTTAGAGTAATGGCCGGAAAACCCTCCATGCATCATTATTTATTATACACCTCATTTACTTTGATGCAATGTTAATACTAGACCAAAGTTCAAAGCCTGTGCAAGTCACATTTTCTTACACAGGGAAAGCAAATTTTGCTGGGCTGAAGCATCAGGGAAGGTACCATACAACCCTGGCAGGAACAGACAGTGCGTGGACAAGCTTGAGATGTTCCCCCCAGGATGGTGTCTGTCCTCCTACATCCAGGCGGGTGTCCCCACTGCCGTGCATGTGGCTCTTCCCAAGCATCACCCAAACAGACGGGGAGCCCTTGCAGAAAGTTTCAAAAAAAAAAAAAAAAAAGCTGTTGAAGCACCGACTGCTGGGAGCTGGCAGGAGAAGCACTGACCATAACAGCCTCGTTTTCTGTCTGCTGTCCCCAGTTTTCTGCTACTGATTGCTCTCACTAGACAGGGCTGGGCAGAAATGTTGCCCGGCCTAGCTTGACAAGGTCTAGCTTTCTGCGTACACCAAGAGCCAGAAAAGAGCAGAATTACATTATTTTAATATATGCGACTGACTTCTCCGAACTGTGATCTGTCCTATTTATCTCTGTCCACTTCCATTCTGTACAGGCTGTCCCCTTGCCTTCCTTCATTTAAACCTTTGGGTCTTGATTTATCTGTTAACCAAACTATAGGTCATGAGCAACGTGGAGCATGATTGGTTTTGTTTTGTTTGTTTGCTTGTAGAATAAATAGAAAACAAACAAACAAACAAGCAAACAACACAATAGAAGATAATAATGAAAAGACTTGAAACTCACCTGTGCAGGGGCAAGCTACAGACATGCACCACATTACAGGCAAAAGACTCAGTAATGTTTGAGGCTGGGATGAGCAACTGACTCTAGCAGAAAACTGAGGAGAGTGGAGTCCCTCCTCTCATCATCACAGAAATGGAGAAAAAGAGAGCCTGAAAAGACTGCAAAAGGTCTCCCCGTCCATCCTTTTGCCCCAAACCAAGGTGAGTTGCACCTACAGCATTGCAGAAAGGTGCTTTGAACAGTCTACTACTGACACCAGAGCCCGGCAAGCCCGTGCAGTTCCTTGATGTCCTTGACATCTTTCCTGCTGCAAGTGCAGCCCATCATTCCTTGTCTGATCCCCATGGTTCACCCCGGGGGGTACCTCACATACAGGTAAAAGGCACTGCTGCATTTCCAGCTCCTCCTCCCCTTGCAAAGAGCAGCGAACCCACCCGTTTTCCCATGTGGAAAGTTTTGTCAGACCTTACATCATGCAACAGCAAAAGACTAAGGCCAAGCAAGGAGATAAAATGCTCCACAGCAAGACAAGGAGCGAATCTGAAAGCCAATCTATCAGAACAACTTGAGAAAATGGGGCACAATTCAATCTCACATCGCACATGTAGGATTACGCTGAGCTATGAGATTTGACATGTGTTGAGGAACGTTTTCTGCCTTGTATTTAAGAACAGCATATTTCATACATTTATCCTTCCTGAAGATGAAAAAGATGCTGTACTCTATATGTCATTTGGATAACATCTGTATTTCTTGAGGGCTTTTCTAAAGCAATACCAGACTTCTGTGCTCTTTAACCTCCTTCCTATAGCTTTTTTGTTTGTTTGTTGGCTTTTTGTCTTTGTCACAGAGGATTTCTTATCTATTTGGGTGTCTTCATAAATCGAACATGTACACAGCACTGGAACTCCAAGAAATGAAAGGCAAAATAACAAGGCTGCAAAACCATATGCTTAATTTCACAGTCCAGTTCCTCAGTATGGAAGATAGAAATGTCTCCCTCCTGCATCCTCCAGCCTCATAGGCCTCTCTTGTATTGCAATTTATACCCATCAAGCACTTGACATGCACTTTTACAGACTAAGCTTTCAGCCTGAAGCCTATTAAAATGCCAACTGACAATGCAAGATTTATTAAAAGTTTAAAAAAAAAAAAAAAAAAAAAAAGTCACCAATTGCCTGGCCCCACACAGATTCATTGCAGGTAACAAAAGTTTAGTAGCTGAGACTTAATACACACAGATACACACCTACACCCTTCTGAAGACTGACTTTGCTTCTGAAGGGTCACGATTTCACTTTTGTCATTCAGGAACATCTCCGCCGAGGTCAGCAGGACAATGCCGTGGCAGGAGAATTAGGCCCTGCATTTCTTCAAAGCTTTACATCCTCTCCCAAACACAGCGATAGATCTGCATGCTTGCAACTTGTGTCTTTGCATCGCACCATTGCTTTTCCAATATGATGTGTGCTGTGTTTTTTTTAGTTTTTTTTTTTGTTTTGAGTTAGAAACTAGCCCCTGGAACTTCAGGCTGTCCCTAGGATGTGTTTTAATCTTCTTTGCAATAATTTTCCCTTCGTAAGCAGTCACGTAGCGCAGTCTGATACGGGTAAACATCTCACTGTATTAATGAAGTTTGAAACAAAAAGCATTGCTAGACCAAAAGCATGCGACTGCAAACAAAATGAGGAGCAAACATGTCCTGGGGGGAAACTCATCTGCCACATGAATCGTCTCACAATAAACTGCACCGCTATGGCAGGATGGTTTGTGTATGGGTTAAATCAAAATAAGAACCTGGAATTAAAACCCTTCGCTCCTCTGATGGTCTGATTCATTTCTGCTGATAAAAGACCTGAGGTGCTGTTTAAGCTATAAAACCTGCAGTATCTTCCCCCACGTCGTGGATTTAAATGCATCTGAAATCTCAGAAGAATGATTAATCATGGCAAATTCTCCGCATTTTGCCTCAGAAAGAGAATCTGCCTAAATCCTGGCTGTTGAGATCCAGGCGTGGAGCACAGAGTGCTGCCCAAAACTGACAAAGCCCTGAAACGTAGCAGCCCCAGCTCTGGTTTGCCCAAATCCTGCAGCAGCAGCAGCAGCCAGCCTCCTGCAGCAGCAACCTCCTTGCTTCGCCCAGAATGCAGCCCGCAGAGACAGCGCAAACTCTGCCCCCTGTTAGCACCAGCTTCATCTGGCTTAACACTAGACTCACTAAACTATGGCAGAGGTTTTCCTCTGGTATAAAATAACAGAGCTTGAGGAGAGCATCTCTCAGAAATAAAACATTCCCAGGTACTTTATAATGAGCAAGATCCGGCCAAACGTATTTCCTCTTGAGCCTTTGAAGTATTGCTCACTTTTTTTTTCCCTTTTATAACTATTGCAGAATCCTTTTGGGTTAGATGATGAATGTCACAGAAAAGCCATTCAACAATGCCACCGATGCTTTGAACAACCTTCAAAAGCACCTTGAGGAGGTCAGTGTGTTAATTTATCAGGAGCAAAATATTATTTGCGATATACATTGACTTTCACTCCACAGCTCATTTGCATCTTTCCTGAGTAAGGGCATAGGGAAGAAATACACTGAAGCCTTGAAACAGCAACTGTCCTTCGGTGCTTAGCATGTGATTTTACACTGTACTCAATATAATCTACTCTATTTTTGCATCTGACAGCAAGGGAAAATACTTAGAGAAAACATGCTCATTTCTCAGCTAGGAAGCTGAGGAATTCCTCAACACACACAAAAAGATGAAGGTGGCAATACAGCTTGAAAACATGTGCCTTTGAGAGTGAGGATCCAGCATAATTAAGAGGAAAGATGCAACCTTTGGTACCTTAACACCAACCCTCAAAGGAGGCAGCACCACATCTAGCTGTTCTTCCTAAGGCTGAGAGAAACCGAGAACTTGCATTTGTGCATGTGTGCATGGACGTGACTCCCCTGTCCAAAAGAAATCTCTGCCTGGCTAAGTTTCTGTAGCACATTTCTTTGTCATGAGTAACCCCATTTGCCACTGCATTTACATCCAGATCTTCTTTTCTTCATATTTAAAATTGAAAGCCCTGCAGAGCTGTAGTAGATTAGTAAAACAAGGCCCCATCCTCAGCACAATACAAGGGCTGCAATTTCATCCCTGAGATTTGGCTGCTCCACTTGAATTGTGCTTTTGTGCTTCATGGCATCAACAGAAACATCCCCCTGAATTGCTGCCTTGTATTCGGTTTCAGACAGCACTCAGTATTATCCGGCTTTTAGCAAAACGGCATCTGTGAGCGTATCCCCAGTGCACTGGGAGGAAAAGCCTGGACGGGGCTGGAGGAGAGAGAAATATTTTCTATTTAATTTTGCAGGACCGGAGTCAGTGTTATTTAGACCTCAAACTTGCACGTCAGCAGCCATATCACTCGTCAGAAGCCACAAGATCAGGTACATCTCAGGTCAGCGTTGTCTGCCACAAGGTGCTGCAGGCTGATGCCAGCCGATTATTTCGGATGAAGCAGACTGGAAACTGGAGTGATACCGTAAGTTTATGCTACAGAAGGATGGTTGTGATTCATCCCTCTGGCCTGGAAGTTCACCCTGAGCTGTGATTACTCAGAAGCAAGTCCCGGTGAGGATTTCTCACAGGAGAAAAGGCTCCTTAGCTCTTTGGAGACGTGGCACCATCCCAGAAAACAGCAAGACTTGAAAACCACAGCTGGAGCCTGCAAGGTTTACAATCTCTTAGAAAAGAGGATTACTGCATATTCTGCTACAAATAAATATTATCCTTATCTTTCACCAGCCTTCAACTCCAAAGTCAGGCATATTAGCTGCGATGATTTTTGCATCTGACAGCAAAGGCCTAATTCTGCACACTGAGACTTGTAAAACCCAGTTAATGTCACGATGTGAAATTAGTGAGAAAACTAATCCCCTGTACCACAGCGGTCCATTGGCAGAAAGGTGATAATACATGGACATGATGAAGACAGAGAGCTCCACTTTAATAATTGCAGTTGTTCATTTGTATGATCTATACTGAATTTTATATTTATTTTAAAAGCATATCAACTCTACAGAAAACATTACTGGCCCTAAGTAAGCAGAATGAAGCACTCCCCATACACTGACCACAGGGATATCTCATCTGTCAGCAGCAAAACCAAAGCAGGGCCGTCTGCACACACACATCCCACGCTGGGACCCCGAAAACCTGCAGAGTGGGGCTCCAGCTTGGGGGGCAGGGGGTGAGCAAGAAGAGAGCAGGACACTGGCAAAGGGCTATGGGGGATAGCAGGGATGGGGATAGGGATAGTGATAGCAACAGGGATAGCTTACTGCAGCAGTGCTCAAATCCCAGCTGAACTATCTAATAATAATATATAGTAAAGGATATGTAATTACATATAATAAGAAATTCCTGCACATGAGGAAGTTCCAGCCTTTGGGGAGATGCTCGATGCTAGCAATGTAGTTTTGCTCCACATCATCATTATTATTTTTTTATTCATTTTATTTAATTAACGTGTGCTTTTTTCTTTTTTTTTTCATTTAACTTTTAAATTATGTATCGATGGATTATGCTATTTTTCTGTTGCATTTCGTTTCGGTCCCTTCTCCCGCCTGGTGCAGCCGGGGGTGCAGCAGAGGGGCCGGCCCCTGCCTTCCCCGCGCCCTCCCGCGGCGGCGACGCCAGGTGGCAGCGCAGCCCCGGCCACGGCCGCACACGGCTCGGGGGGGGGTGAAGAAAAAGAGAGAGAGAGAAAGAAAAGAAGAAAAAAAAAAGCCACAAACCGGCAATTCACGAATAAAAGCTTGCAATCGTTTAAAAGAAGTAACAGAGAGAAGCAAAGGTTCCGCTAGGAAATACATATGGGGACTGTTTCAGCACAATAGCGTTGTTTCTAATTTATTTCCAGCCCCAGAAATGTCCAGAAGTAGAGGGGGTAGGGGGGGAAGGAGAGGGGCCCCAGGGCTCCCCACAGCCATCCTGCTCCAGGGTGAAACCAAGAAGCATTCCCCTCTCCTAACTGTACCTAGAATCCTGGTCTGCACCTGCACACTAAAATTAGAAAATTAGGAATTTAAGCATTCTCCAGGCTAACTTCTATCCCTCTATTTTTGCCTCAATATCGTTCTTCGCCTAAAACACCTCCCTGAGCCCTTCTGTGCTGCGCTGCTGCAGAGCCACAGCTCCTCCTCGCCCTTGTGCCGTGGTTAGGCTGGGCCGGCTTTGTTCCATCCTGGGAGCTAGCCTCTCTTTTCCTGAGACTCGTACTTCCTCACAAACAACTTCAGTGTCAACAAATTCGCTTCTGCTGTTCCAAAAAACACTCAGTTGCGAGTTCCCAGACCATGGCAGCTCCGGAGAGCTGAGGAGAGGCCGGGAGCAGAGGGCCAGGCACAGGCCTCGCAACCAGGCCCCACGGTCACTGCCTTTGGGATGTGGTCGCCTGGAAAATGCCTACAGTCCACATGGGTAACAGAGAAATTGTGCTAAGGAGCCCCAGATCGCTCCTTCTGGGGTTGGTTTTCCCAAGCAGTCTGGGTGGGCAGGACATCAGGGGGAGGAGGGCAGGCAAAGGGTCATGGCCACCCCTGGGTTTTGTCAACACGTGGAGCAAAGAGCAGATGGCATGCAGGTGACATATACGACTGCGTGAAGCAACGCAACCTTGACCCAGATGGAGGTCACGCCTCTTCAGCTTTAACAGTGACTATATTACAGCCCATCTCATCTTCATAGAGAAGCTTTCTTGAGACCTCAGTAACCTCACCTGCCATAAATACCTCAGATACCGTAACTCCCCAGCAGCTGCCCTCGGACCACGTGGCCCAGTCCACCGCAGGTCGCTGAGGATTTCAGGGCTCATTTCCTGACAGCTCCTTCCTCATGTAATTCCAGCAAAGCCAAAGATTATATCTCGTGCATCACTGCTAATATCCTTCATGCGGAGCTGGATGTTTGCCAAGTACTTGCTTGGCTACTGATCTTGTCTGAAGTTTGTTAAGCAAAGAGCCAAGTGCAAGCTGTGGCAATCTAACCACAAAACCCAAGCAGCACAAAAGATGCACTCATTATTCAACACCTCATTGCACAACCTAGCAAAAAGGCAGCACCCTTTTCCCCTTTTCCCACCCGTGTAACCTCTCCGTATGTTTTGTGTTTTTTTTTTTCAACATACGTATTTCACAACATTGGTGCTTGGGAGGTAGAGGTGAACTTCCACTTAGCAGGGACTTTTCTGGGAGGCCGCTGTTTCTCCAGGTTTCTTACAGAGACCACAGTGAAGCCAAGTATGAAGAAGAAAACACAAATAAAGGCAACAAGGAGAGGGAGAGGGCAGCAATGCTCCAGTATTTGTAGTCATGTCTGTGTTCAGCTAAACTGAATAGGGCTGAATTGGACCCCAGACTCTACTTGGCACTGGAGCAAAGTTTTGGACTACACCCGTGAGAATTACTACAGAGAAGAAGGAAAGTACTTCTGTATTATTTTGTGGAGGTTTTCCATTTAACTGGAAACACACACAAATTAAATAAGCAGTACACCAGTTCACTTTGCGTGACTGGTATCCCTAACCAGAGATAATGATCTCTCTAGCACAACACGTAACATACCTGCTTGTGGCCCTGCGTTGGGTACGGACTGGACAAAATGTTCTTGCAGATCCAAGCAATTTTGTTGAAGCAATCCCAGCGTGAAAATGGATGGTACTGCAAACCACACAGATATGAAAAGCTTAAAAGACCTGTATATTCACATACATATCTTCACTGGAAACTGAAGATGGACCTACAACTTTGTCTTCATTTAATCAGAATCACGGTGATCCATGTAACTTTGTCTAGCATATTGCTTAAATTGATAGTTTACGGTCAGAGGGTTAAAAGCTTAGGAAATGACATTGCTTACATAAAAAACTACCCTCCTGAAGCCCGTCAGCCTGAACAATGATATTTTCCTTTTAACTTGACCTGACCAGCAGGGTAGCCTCCGGTTGCACTCACACACTGTCCACACTTACAGCTCCGTTATTCCCCACTCCCATACAGCAAATTCTCTGATGTTCCCAACAATCAGAAGAAAAGGGGCGTCTCCTCCCAGCAGCTCTGGGTTTCTGGCAGAGCCCAAACCCTCCAACTCCTCTCCATCTAGGCACATGCAGCACTGCAGTCTCAGCACCCAGACCGTGCTCACCATGCACCTGGTCCCCATGGGCTACTGCATGGCACAGGGCATCTGCCTCCTCCAGGGTCACCCTTGACTAGGTGGCTGCTAACAACACTGGGGAAAAAACAGAGCAGTGCAGGGGTGTTGTTAGCACACTGGAAAATAACATAACAAAATGAGTGAGATGATAATTCCCAGAAACGGTGCATCATGCAAGGTATTGCATAGAAAGATCACGTTTTAATAAGGATGGGACAGAAAGCTGATATGTTGTAGGCACATGCAAAAACAAAGATGTTGCACAGAATGGTGCAGGTCTAAAACTCAGTAAATAGCTCAAGAATGGCAGTCAGGAACACCCTTGGCAATATTTAGATCACAGCTAAAAGCAAAAGTGAGTGATGTAGCTGAGAGAGGGGGATCCATGAGGACCCCCTGCACAGAACATAAAAGCACCCAAGATCAACTGCTATATGGTGGAAATAGCCCCTTCTGACTTGGAGTGGAATGTGAAAAATTCTTCATGCTGCTGAAGATTGCATCCTGAGATAGCTTGGCCAGAGAAGGGTCACAGCGTGTGCTTTTTTGGGAAGATAGCTATGTGAAGAAGGGCTGGAAGGACATCACAGAAGCATGAGGCAGACAGTAGAAGGCACTCACTGCCATGGTGGGACAGCCCTAAAACTGAACTACCGTTAGCCTTCACAGACCTCACACCATAAAATGGGAGAGGGGGAGGAAAGAAAGGAAAGAAAGGAGAAGGAAAAGGTCACATGCTTGCTCTTCCCCCTGAGAGTTATCTCTGTTCTCTTACAGCAACAGCAGCATTGCACTTATACCAAGGTGTGCCTACAGCTGGACGTATGTTGGCTTATATTACACAACTGAAAATGTCAAAATTACCCACCAGCTTAGCCCTTTCCTCCCACACCCAGCAGAGCAGGACTGCCCAGAAGCTGTCCTTGTGAAAAGACCTGGTGAAGAAGTTTGGGTACATGCCCAAAGGAGACAGGTTTCTCTCCAAAAGGTACAGCAGTAATTTTGTCTTTCACCCCTGCGGGGACATGCCTGCTAGGGAGCATCAGCTGCCCCCCCAACACCATTCCTCTGCCCCAGCTATGAAGCCCCTTCAAAATACTTTCCAGGACAGCAGGTTTTATAGGCTGTGTTCACCCAAGTAAATCTCCTGATGGGCAAAAAAGATGGTGAACTATAGCCAGGATCCAGGTGGATCATGCTTTCTCCTCGATTAACACTCTTGGGTCCATCTCCTACATGAGCTCCCTGGTCTCCAGGCTGATGAAGGTGCAGGATTTCTACAGAGGTGCTGCTGGCCAAGACCAGTGCTCTGCAATTAGAGTGTTTCCCTGCAGCTGGTTTCCAGCAGCTACAGCTGATGTTACCAACACAGGAACAGCCCTGGGTTGTCTGCTCTTCCTCTTTTGCTCATTAAAAAAAAAAAAATAAAATAAAGGAAAAAAAAAAAAAAAAAGCAAGAAGCCATGGGGCCATGGGGAAGGTTGATCAACATTTTGAGAAAAACAAGTGCTCACTTGACCTGCTCACTCACAAGACACTGACATCTGGCCACCCTGACCTGTCTGGGCACTATGATGAAAGGAAAGCAGCACCAGTCATAGCTAAGCAGCTGCTCCTTGCCCTGAAGTTGCCCAGAGGTCACCAGTGGGCTGGCTGGCAGCTCTGCCAGAATATGCCCACAAGAGGAGACAACATTGCCCTGACTCCTTTGCTGTGATCTGAGAAGATACCCGCTGGAGACCAGCAGCTGTTGGTGGGACCTGCCTGTGGCCCTTCCCCACCCAAAACAACCTGGCAGACAGCAGAGGAAGAAGAGACTTGGCCTCTCCCATGGACCTGCTCCCAGACCATCCCAGGGCTACCCGTCAGCACCCGCCATCACCCATAGCAAGAAACGTAACTCTTCTGGCATCAGTCCCCGTCCATCACAGATGAACTGCTCCATATCAACCGCAATAAAATGCAGAATAGCTGCCTCCATCCCACCACCCAAGGAATAAAAAGATGGATCCCAACCCCAACTTTCCCTTCTTTAGGACCTTTTCCTTTGCAAGCGAAATCTCAAGAGACTCTGCAAAACCATTATTTTATCTCTTTTTTTTTTTTTTTTGATCACGTTACTAATAGTTAAGCATCCTTCCCAGCACTTGGCAAGCCTGGCAGACCCCCATCTTTAGCACCTTCCCCCTTGCCTCCCCAGCTGTTGCAAGTGAATGGTTACAACAAGCCTCAGCTGAAGGGCCGGGAGAAACTCGTCTTCTCAAACCAGCTGCGCATGGTGCTTTGCCTCTCCTGTGAAACTCCTGTCTGGCCTGTCTCGGTGTCTCCAGGTACATAAACTGTTTAACAGAGACTCTCCAAATGTTCTCAGGACCCTGAAAGCCAAGAATGTGAGGACTGCGTAATTATGAATGAAGCTGGTGGCAAAGAAGTTGGTCACAGGACTGGGAATAAACCGCAGAAATACAGGGAGCAGGTATCCATATGCCTAAGGAAGCTAGATATAAGGCAGGAGGGGCAACATTTTTGACTCCTGAAACCTTTTAATTCTTTTGCTGGAATTGTTCCTAGAACTTCTCCAGGTAAAGGCAAGCCTCACCTCTTTAAAAGATCCTGACTGATCATTGAGGACAACTTGTTTATTACTTAAAGAAAGAGTTGTCTTACAATATTACTTCAGCCTTCTTAACTAAAAGCTTTTCTTATTCATGAACTTAAAAACATCTTACAGCAATCCCATGAGTGATCCCATGGCAAGGCTAAAATGATTTCTGTAAGAAAATAATGCAGTTAGTGGGTATTAAGGGAAGAGCACCTCGAGCCAACAACAGGAAACAGAGAAAAAAAAAAAAAAAAGTAAGCTGACGAGTCTTTCAGGAACCTAAGTGCCATGCACAGGTGTGGATTCATTTGCCTTTTTGGCAAAAGCATCATCATATGGTCCTTCATTACATGCCATACCTTACACATTGCATTCTTCACTGCTCCATCTGTTATACTAATTCAAATTTTGTAAGACTGCTTTGAAAAAGGAAACAAACAGGGAAATGACCTAGGTTTTGTTTCTGCAGGGTTATTTTTAACCTGAATCTTTCCACCGGTTTTGCTTATGGTGCAGCTCCACCAAAATTAAATAAATAAATAAAAGAGAGACAGCATGCTGTAGTTCATGGCTGGTGGCAAGGATTCCTTAAAAAAAGAACATAAAAAGCTCTTGCACCTAAGTGATGTGCTCCAGGAAACAAAAAATTGCTGCCTTTGCTGTTGCCTGTGATCAATCACATTACAAATTCTGTATGATTTTGTATTTAAAAGAAAAATCAATACATTAGCTGTCTTTTTTTCCAGTAAAGTAATGCAAGAATTTTAATGCATGTCTTCTCCGACAATAGACAGACTTGTTATCTTCAGTGTCACCAAAAGACCCAACATCATGCCTTCTGTATCATCAGACAGAAGCTACAGAGCTAAAAGCAGCAGAAAGTAAGGGCAAAATAAACTTTTCTTCCACCAGGACACTTACAGGCTAGGCTCATGGCATTGAAAGGCATTATCTGCAGTGAAACCAAACAACCAAACTTACAGTCTTAGATCTGAGCCTGAAAACCTTCCCCCGAGCAACAGCCCCCCTTGACTGGAAAGCCAACCAAGCCCAGAAAAGATGCAAACAGTATGTAGGACCTACGTAAGCTTTCTGTACGCGCAGAGTTAGGATGGGGCTTCTGGCATAGTTACTTCACCACCAGGAGCGTTACCCAGGAAAACAGTGCCAGGAGGACTGCGAAATGCCAAGAGGCCTTGGTAAAGTGGTAGATCAATGCTTAATATACACGAAAATTATACACACAAAAAAATCTAGTTAGAAAAATTGTTGCAGCATGAAGGGAAGATACAGAAGCATGTAGAAAGACAGGCATAAAGGCAACATCGAGACTAGAAAAACAGGGCATGTCAGAGAAGAACCTCATAAATACAGGCAAATACTTTAATTCCTTGTAGAGCTCCATGTTTTCTATGCATTTGTTTTCTTTATAAAGAGTTTTCTCGGTGGGCATCTACTGGAGTTCAAAATCTTCTTGCTTTAAATCTCACAGGAGTCAAAGAAGAGAATTTATTCAAAGCCCGTATCTGAGATTATCACATATCTGATATTTAGCTTCAAGAAGTAAACAAGTTGTTTGTGTTTTGAATGAGGAAAACATTTTCTTCCTATGAAGCTCTCAGGGGAATTCAGTAAATCTTTGCACAATGAATTTTGAAAATGTCCATAGAAGGTTTAGTGGTCCTATGAGAAATACAGATAACAGAGGGAAACAAACAAACAAACAAACAAAAAAAAACACTCTATAAAAGTATCTGAGTATCTAAAGCGGAGATCTATCACCTCTTTCCTCACTTTATGATGGCTTAATATTTAGCCCAAACTTGCCAAACCAAGTCAGACTAATGATCTTTAAAGCCTGATGCACCACCACTGCAGATCCAGCCTGTAACTGAGACTTCAAAGACCAAAGCTAGCGATTTGTCTTCTAAGTAAGCGATATCTGAGCCACCAGGGAAAAGGACGAAGCTTTGTAAGAAAAAAGGGGAAAGTTGCTTCCCAATTTTACCTAGCTATTGCTTATGTCTTGAACAGAGAGGGACATCTGCCACCTTTTAACCTAAGCAAGAATCTGTGTTATTACCGGACAAGTTGCCTACAACATTGATGGCTCTTGCTAAAGCTGTGTTAAAAGGCAACACGGCAGTAGCTCAAATTAATTGCATATTATGCAATGCAGCATTTTAATTTCTTGAATCATTTTTAAATGTGCGGCTCTTAAATTTTACTCAGTTCTTTGCCATTGGGAAAGGTACACAGGTGAGTTCAATTTTGCCTTCCTGTACCATTATTTTAATACCTCAGGTTTATAACATCACAGTTTTGTTGAGGCAGGGGTTACTGCAGCTTCATGCTGGTGCAATACAGATCAGGTACTAAGCTTTTTTTCTACCTTTTATTTTTCCTCAGGCTGAATGATTTCCATTCCTCTCATTATTTGTTCACTCCCTGAACTGTCTTTTGTCCATTTTATCTGTTTAAGGTGGCCTAAAACCAAGGGCTCAGAGAAACTTATCATCGGTTTACTTGTGTTTGTTTACCCCTGAGCACAGGGCTGATACATACATTAAGATGTATGAGTGCTGAAGCTTGTTTTACTCGCTGCTTGTGGCTTATTTCGAACTAGCCCCTGGTTCAAAGCTTCCTTTCTCATACTTCACCTTTGTGCCCAAGTTACTAAGCTGAATCAGCAGTTCCTATATGACCTTTGCCATGTCTAGTTTTGAACAATTGATGCAATTGTGCGTTTTCTTGTAACGCCAGTACAGATAAAGACATAAAACACTGCCTATATCTCTCCCAGGTTAATTATTACACTACGCAGCCCAATCAGAGCAACACCGCGCAAGAAAAAGTGAGATAAGGAATCCTCCCTGATTTCTAAAGAACCGACACTTCATACCCACCCCTGCTTTCCTAATCTCAGCTTCACCCCTCTGCTTTCCATGGTGAAACATTTCTCAAAAAGGAGGAAAATAGCTGTACATATCTATTTCGCTACATTATCTCACAGTCTGCCCAAGTAATTTCCCAGATTTATAAGAGGTGGTAAGATTATTATTATTTTTTAGAACAGAGAATAGAAACATAGATATTAAGATTTTGAGCATTAGCTTGTCCTAGATGATGCTTAAACTTGCAGGAACATAGTAAAATATTTATTTCCATGGAACCCAGACAATGAATTATCTAAACTTTTGATAAAATCTGGTTTTGTCACGCAGTATGCAATTACCTGTCACAAGCAAAACGAGACAAATTGTTTTCACTGCCTCCGAGAAGAAGCACACCAGAGTAGCTCCCTCTCCATCCCGGTGTCATTGCTGTTGGCAGGGAGGGCTCACCCGAGGCCGAGGAGCGCAGCCCTTCCACAGCTGCCAGGAGAGCAGCAGGACACCGAGTAGCTCAGAGCTTCCCAGCTCCAGCCCCACATCGCCTCCCCCCGCTGAGGGCTGCAGTCCAGCTCCTCCCTGTGAGGAACATCAGTCCTCTGGGAGGTGGGGATGCAGGGTCAGGCCCCGCAGGGCTGTGTCGGACACGGCCTGGGAGGAATGACTTTGCCACTTGGGCTCTCCACATCGATTTGCCCTCAAATCGATGGATTTGAGGACTTCCACAAGTCCTCAAAGGACTTCCACAGGACTTCCACAAGTCAGCTGTGTCAGTGCTGGTATCACCCCTTCCGAACCAGGCTGCACTTTCAGGCCGCCACCATTTTAAGCCCAAGGAGCCTGCTTCCCCCTCCAGCCCACCCCCAAATCACCGGACCCGAGGCTGTGAACCTGCTCAGCAAATTACCAACAGCCCTTGGGAAAAACGCACCTCAAAAAAAGAACTGAGTCTGATCATAATGAGAATATGTATTCATATCTTCAACTGACAGAAGCCCTTGAACTTCCAGGCAAGGTTAAAAACGAGCAACAACAAATCTTCTGGATTTGTTAAGTAGAGGCCTTCTCCTTTCCTCCAGCTCTGTCTCTGCTTGCTAGAGGATGGATTTACGGCTTGGAGTTGTACTAAACTGAGCACTCTGAAATAGACAACCATATCGAACAGGGATTTTCAGTGCAGGATTGCAAAACACAGCAAAATATACAACTAAGGTATGTGTGGTGTTCCTCTAGCTATGAAGACAGGAGCAAAGGAAAGCACTCCTGTGTCAGAGGATCTTTTCTCCCCATTTGCAACAAGTTGAACCGGAGAGTGAAATCGGGCTGGAATAAAAATGTCTGTGTGGAGATTTTTTTTTTTAAACCATCTTAATTCTTACTGAATTTTGATTACATTTTCTGTCTCAGGCATGAAATAAAAAGGAAGAAGAAAGGTGGCAGGAATTCTGCATCTCCAGAAAACTGGCAGTACTGCAACTACTGTGTAGTTGGGACATTCCCTTTGGAAGGGTTTGCTTCTCTAGTAGGTACCTTGACATCTAAAATTGTTCCAGTAACATTCCAGTAAAACTATAAAGAGCGACACAATCAAGCCAGATGCCCTACAGTTCAAACTAAGTTCTAACTAAAAAAAAAAAAAATCAAACTAAAACAAACAAACAAACAAAAAACCAACACTGCTATAGACCAACATCCAAAATTATTTCTTTTTCCCTATCAAGCAGTGTTATCAAGGAAAGGTCTCCAAATCTGCTCTAGAGCCATGCCCCATAGAAGGCGAAGTTTTGAAAGAACTTTTTTTTATCTGTTTCTGGCATATGGTGAGATAGAAAACAAGATGGAGACCCTGGAAACAAGGTCTGCCCTTTGGACTGCTGAATGTTGGCCGTATCTCCTGTGAAAATAAGAGAGACCCGAGGCAAGAGCAAAAGGCTAGGAACCAAATTTGAGGTACCTCGCAAAAATGAAGGTGGAAGTTAATTCACAGACTTAATAGGTGGCAGGACAGAATCAGATAAATCATACAGGGAGATGAAGACACCACATGAATGCTCGTTATAATGAGTTAACAATGACATCAATCTGTTACAGAAAAGAGGGCTCTCAGCACCTGGGCATCAGTGTGAAAATCATCAAATTTAAAGATACCAGTGCACAGGACAACTGACTGCCGAAAATGTGCCAGCTCATTTGCAAAAAGTAACAACGCTAACCTTAACTCTTACCTGCTTCTAGTTCTTGCGCCTGAACATACAATCATGTCATTAGCAACATATAATCATACTGACATTTAATATAAAAGATTTTTTAAGAGAGCACTTTTAAACTCATTGAAAGTCGCTGTCTGTGGTTCAAGCAGCAATTTGACAAACTTTATCCTTCAATCCAAATTTCCCCAAATCATGCTGAAATGTATGGCGCTGTTCTTCTAACGAGCAATTCCTGAATTGCCTCACGATGGTATTGCAAGAAAGCTCAGAAGGGAGGTTTTGGTATTCCTCACCTCTCAGTTTTTTAGGTTTTATTTGGTATCTAGATAATATAAGCCAAAAGCATCCTCTTTGCCATAAGGAGCACACGAAGATAAGAGTAACTCCCAGCAAATACATTCCTAGTTTTCCTTAACCACTGTTCAAACTTCCAGCCCTCAATGAATGTGAAATACCATCTTTTCTAAAAATGTTTGTTTCATTACACAGTAACTAAAATCTGTTGAGGGATTTTTTGAAACAGCAAAGATCCCACGGCTTGCTGCAGCTGAGCAAACCAAGCTACCAGGACAACTATGAGAAGTTCCCATGACAGTGTTCCCACATCGCCCAATTGAGGAATTTAAAAAATATTGTTGCCAGCAGCTGGCTTCAAGGACAAGGTCTGCGTGACTGCTAATCACAAGGGGGTTGTTTTCTTGCAGGTGGGGTTGTTTTCTTGTAGTTGTTTGTCTGAGTGCTTTTGACCAGTAATCTTGTGTGAAACACTGTCTGCCCCTGTTAAGTTCACTATAAAAGTTAGGCTATTCGGGCAATAAAATGGAGCAGGATCTGACCATACTAGTGTCTGTCATGTTTTCGGCCGTTCTTCCTGCGACAAAAATCATCCAGACAAAGATGCATGCCAGAAACCTATTTTTGTTACTTTACAATGATGTGAGTCAAATTCAGCAGCTTTGTTTAAAACAGGCAAAAAAAACAAAAAAACAAAAAAAAAAAAAAACACCACCAACAACAAAAAAACCTAGAGGGATCAGTTTCACGTAATGAAATGTGTAGTTTTCATTAGGATAAACTAACCCTCAGCTCATCTCTGGTATTTGCCACAGTGACCAAGGACTGAAGATTGTTTTTTGGTTGTCTATATAAAGACTGTTTTCTCTGTTTAGTGCATAACAAACAACATTGATCAAAGAGGCAAGTAAACCCTCACATTTAGTGTCATGATTTGCTATGCAGCCTGGAGCCACATATGTATTTTCACCGTGCCTTTGTGCCTTTTTAACATTCCCTAAACACTGACTTATTTAGATTCTGGCTGAGAGCTGATACCAATCTCTCCTGGATTTTTTAGTCCTGAAAAACAAAAACATTCGCTTATTATGGCAAAGAGGGTTTTTTTGTTTGTTTGTTTTTCCCCCCATTTGCCCACAATACAGATTTGGAATATATACCAAAAATACAGGTGTGTTTGTGGCTGTTTTTTGATCGGGGCAGTAGATATGTGTAGCACGTACAGCTTTCATCAGGTGCCTACATGCTGGCATTGACAATATCGAACTCCTCTTCACACAGGAATGTGCTGGAATACGATTTCTATATTTCGTGAGTAAAATAATTATCCCAATGAAAGGAAGGAGTTAGGGTCTTCCTGATTATAGCCAAGTCTCTCCTACCGCTGCTGCTGGAGTAAATAATATATTATTTGAGTATTTTACAGCTCTGTAATGAAATAATTCACAGAGAACAAACATGACATTTCTCTGAGGAAGATCCCTCCTACCCCCTTCTTCCCCTCAGACAATCTTCATCTCCATCCTTCCATCCTATTTGTGAATTATAAAAAATTGAGCAGTGTTTTTCAAGAAGCAAGTGCAATAGGGCCGTAGCTCTCACCTTTGTTCTGTGACACGCATATACCTTACCTACACTGAGCAGTGATTAAAGAGCAGTGATGGGACTCCAGAGACTCTTGTCCCATATTTCCATAAAAATCTTCTCCTGAAAGGTGCTGCCTTCGTTATTAGAAATAAGAGAACATTTCCACTCCAGGGAATCCCAAAATATTTGGAAGCGCTACTACCACCCCATTTTTCTTTTTTTTTTTTTGATTGCAAGTATGCAGATCTTGTATCCCAATGCACAGGGTATTTCTTGTACAGAACTGGATTTGCTGTGTCCATCAGCTTTGTCTTTGACCCCTCCCCTTTCCTTCCCCTTCCCCCACCAAAAAAAAATGTCAAACAAGTAACGTGATCTCACTGAAGGAAAAATTACAGTAACATTATGTTGAAATTTGCCCTGTGAACAAATGAACAATCATAACTCTTGTATTTACTGGCCACTAGCCATCTCTAGCATTGTGCAGCAAGATGAGTCATTTATCAAGACATCAAAAACACCTGAAATTTACTGAACATGTTCATGTCTTCCAAAAGCCACCAGAGAAAATTAAGCATAGCTTAATTTTCTAATAATTTCTAATAATTATTATTATAATAATTATTAATTTCTAATAATTTCTTAATTTTCTAATATTTGATAATAATCAATTTTTCTAATATTTGATAATAATCAAACACCTCTCTTCTGTTCCTTACCAATGCAGCTGGGCACACGTGAGTGGGTTTATTTATATATGAAATTTAATACAGGTACCCGCACAAATTAACAGGAATAATTTAGCACCCTGGAAATAACAGGGTTATAATTTTGCTTAAATGTGTGTACGTACATGTATGCACATAGAATAAAACCAGAAAGCAATCAGCTGCATGAAAAGTAGTATCTTTCAATAACATCAAAAAGATTAACACAGAATAGTATTAAAAACTTGGTCTTGCAAGTGCTCTGGAGAGTAAGAAATAAATGGTGGCACATTTATTGATTTTCCTTAAACTCTGAATACATAACCATCTCTAGAACCTATTTCTGTAGGTGATAATTAAACTGTCCTGCTTTTATGGCTGCTTTATTCTTTAATAGTTGAGCTATCCAAAGGAAATAAGAAAGAATATCAAAGCCTATGGTGAGTGCCCAAGTCTCAAGCACCTCTGAAGACCTTTATGGAAGTGCCCCGCATCTGCTACACCAGTTGTTGTGGCTACTTCTTGGCTGCTGATTTTCTACATCGAGTATTTTTTTTATTGCTTGTTCCAATTACCTTACCCCACAGATACGAAGCACGTATTTGGGAGAGCAGTTAAACCCACTGACAAAGCTGCATGAGGACTATACATCACACAGCTCCGCTGTGCTGTTGCCACACCTGCCCCAGGAACAGCTCAGAAGCAACTCATTTTGCACCAGTTTTACTCTCCTGTCAGACACGTCTTGTGGCAGTGTTCCTCCCAAACCATTGCCATTAACCATTTATTTCTTCTAATACATATTCTTGTATTACTGCAGGGGTGAAGTGAAAAATAGCTACAGCATCAGATCATACTCTGACTTACGAGAAAGGAAATTTGAACAAAACAGGTGTTTTTATAGTTCAGGTTGATCGGACTAATAAAATTGATAAGACTAATATTGTGCTAATTTCCTCTTCATGCAACTGAACTGAAATTGTTTCTGAATAGTCTCTATAAACACATCTCATCTATCACTGTTTTTGGTAATGCTTTCTAAGAAAAAAATGTAACATGTACAGAAAAATAACAAACATTCACAAACTAAAACATTTAAACTGGCCTAAAAAAGTCTGATTAAGCATTCAGTCTTTCAAGTGATTCAACAATCCTGTAGGAAATAGATCTGTGTTCACAAAATATAATGTTTTGTTTCAAAGACACGTCATGCATCGCTGCATATACTGAAAACATGAAATTTGTGCATCTTAATAGCCACTCACATACACACACACACACGGGGTACTTCAAAATAAACAGCACTCATTTGAATAAAAAATACACTTCCAACAACAGATTTTCTCTATTAAATCCATGTTTATTGCTTAAGTTTTATCACAGTGGAGATTAAATTACGCTTAATCATCCGGTCAGTGCTTTTGTACCTTCTTCAATACCAAAAAAACATTTAAACCAAGTCATTCATACACTCGAAGTCTTATTACCATCCCACCGTTCATCGCCTCTGTGTGCTCCTTTAGTTGCCACAAACTGTAAGATTGTAAAAAGGTATAGCTAATAGACCTATTTGTAACACCATTTTCTTCAAGTATTCAGAAAGCAGTACACGTAGCCGTACTGCATATTAGAAACATATCCGTACGGTTATTTATTGCTATAGGACAGAGGCTCCTGATGGAATGGTAGTGAAATATTGCATCACCGTGTATGAAGATGATCTCAGCGCTCTGTTAGCATCACAACTTTTCCCATGTTAGTGAACAACACTAAGTAAAATGGGTTTCCTTCCTTCCTCTTCCAGGCATGGGATTTCAAACTACAAATAAATAAAGCATACACTCACAACGTGTGTAGTGCAAATTCCAAGTAAACAGAATGACATGGAAATAAACGCATAGTTGCCAGCTCTGGTTCGGCAGGGCCGCGATCATTTATTATTTTTTTTTTATCTTTTTTTTTTTTTTTTTTTTTTTAACGCCCAGCCTCCCCGCCCTCGGTTCGCACCGCACCGCCGCAGGAGTCCCGTGTCAGCTAGAATGATTGAAAGAGATTGTTGCAGAGAGGGGCCAGCCGGAGCAGGGGGTGGCAGAGACGGCCACCGCAGCCCCCGCGCTCACCGGGCTGGGCTTGGCCTCGTGCCTCCTGCCCGGCCTCGCGCCCCGCGGTCGCAGAAGTGACATTGGCAACTATGGGAAACATGGATTGCGCGGCCCAGACCAAGAGAAGGTAATAGTTTTCCAGATACAACCGTTCGAAGAGAACATCTACAACATTGTGATTTAGGAAAAAAAAACGTAATAGTAATGAGAATTAATAGGAAAGACATTCAAACTTGTAGTGTTTTCCTGTTTGCTTGTTTGTTTCCTAAACCTCACACGGTGGTTTGATTCTGCACTGCTCTGGGCCATTACGAAACATTCTGCGTTAAGCACAGGGTAGATTTTTTTTTGGTTTCAGTTTTCTTAATTATGCATATCTACTTCCCACACAGCCATATTTTAAACTGAAATAAAACTCCCTAATATTTTCATGGCATAAATTACATATGCAGAGAAAGGCAACAAATACAATTTTGTATAAATTAAGAATTAAGACTTATTGTAGGCTTGCTCAGTACCCTGTTCTCTGAAGTACTGGTAGTGAGCAGGAGAGTCATGCAGCTTATCAGAAAAGATAGTACACATCTTTACCATTTTTCTTCAGTGCTCATTTTAAGATTTTTTTTTTATATCTGGGTTCTCATTCTGCAACTTACTATTTCTTGCAAAAGCATTGGGATTTTTTTTAAACAGCTTTCCTATACACACTGAGCCTTCAACAAATGAAACACAGCTAGCACTAAGTTCTCTCAGCTAAAAGATGGATATATTAAAATAAAAAAATAAAAGGATAAAACTCTGCAAATAAAAAGAAACCTTTCCTCATTTGGGACACATATAGCTCTTAAAAACTGAAAATTCATAAATACGATCATCATATAACTTTAGAGAATTAAGGCTTCTAAAAACTTCAGTGCCAAAATAACCTCTCTGCATCAGTATTAAGAATAAAGTATCTTCTATTTTCGGTTGTGCTTGCTTTTCTTTCATTTTTAAAAAAAGACTTTCCTTAGTTCCATAGAATTTTGTCACGTAATATTACATACTGTAGGGGAGTGTTAGAACTGCTTATTGACATTTTAAGTAGTTGTTAGACTAAGTTACAGCGATAAAATTTGATTACTGATCTGATTCATTACTATTTTACATGGGGTGGTTGGCTCATTTCACCTTTTTTTCGTGTTTCATGTGGCCGTTTCTTCTATACTTGCCATTGGGTATCCCGTTCTGGTAATGTCCATTAACAGTGCTATGTTCATCATTTGACCAAAGATGTTTGCTTTTTTTGCGGATAAATTTTGTTAGCCTGGCCAGAACATAATAAAATAAGGCAGCACCCACTAGAACAACAAAGGCAATATCCAGTAAGAAATACTGATAGAAAGAGATGCTGTAAACAGCGGCACGTAGATGTTGCGCTCCGTTGTGACGGAGGATATAGTTAATCCAGTACACAGTCCGGTTAACGGGATGACCCGGTTGGTCTTTGTGAATTTCAGACAGCCTCTGGGCCCGTTGCCTGTAGCTGTGTGAAAGAAACAAAGAAAATGGGACAAGGTAAAAAGCACAGCCAGCACTCCGAGCAATGCAAGCCTGTAAACACGTAAATATACTCTAGAGGCCAAAGCACGTCGTTTACTGCGGAACTCTCACAACAACCCACACAAGGGATGACCTCTCTGCATCAGTCTTTACAGCTCATTGACAAAGAATTACTAAAAACACAGACCCATGGATGAGCCAGGTTGAAATCCACCCTTCAGCAACAGGCCTGTAGCAGTGATGAAGAACCGAACTGACCTGCTGACAGATGGGAATCCTATCTGATCTCAGATGAACATATTTGCCCTTCCCACTCCAAGTGGCAACATACCCTAACACGCTGCTCCCTCACACTATTGTGCAACTGTATTAATAGGGAAACAGAACAAAGTGCGAATCTTGGGTCTAGAATTCCTCTTAGGTCTTGAGTTCAGCCTAAAACTGATTGTTCACGATGAGCTGCCCCTGGAAGCTGATCACATCAAATTCCTTCCCTTCCCACTGCTGCAGGGTCGACGGGTTATTTGTGCAGGACTTACCTTTATACTAGGGATAATTATACAAGAAAAAGCCAAAGCAACTGATGCTACCAAGATGACTTCAGCAACTCTCCCCTTCACTGAGATTCTGCTGCTAACGAGCTCATTTTGTACAGATTTCTCCTTTTCCATGGCAAGTGCTGCTTAAAAACTTTGCTCCCATGAGAGCAAGAAACATTGTCTTCACTATACTCTAAAATGTCTATTAATTTAAAACAAGAAGCAACCAGCTAAAACATCACTTTTTTAAATCCAGAGATAGACTGTAAATTGACTGTCCTCATACTTTAATATTACTGAGCAAATTGACTTGATGGGATTAAAAATAGTTACAAAACCCAGTTCATGAGCTTGTATTTATTCCACCTGAATGACAGAGTTACAGAAAGGCTGGCGCCCTCATTCATAATAATTTGTTGCAATGACAGTGTTCTAACAAATGGCCCCCATGACCCCAACACATATATTACTGGCCAGAAGACAAAGAATTTTGGGGTTTGGTCTTTTTTTTTTTTTTTTTTTTTTTGAAGTCATGGGACTTTAGAACAGTCACTTTTTTTTTTTTAGTACCTCCACATTTTCAGCTACAAACCAAACACATGACCTGACAATCATACAGGTATACTTTCCCACAAGCCCCCCTAGGGAGCATAACAGATTTAAATACGTTATTGTGGTGTAAATCAAGACACAAAAAGAGGTGTTGGTCTACAACAAGCAGCTAGTCAGGCCAGGTGTGTTTCTATAACCTTGCTGTCCTTCCCATGGCATCTGTCACAACGACAGAAAAGCAAGACAATTGAGTTTTGGTATGCTGATCAGTGAGCTTGGCATCTATACAGGAACACGTTCAGTTGAGTAATCTTGTGAAATGGGGACATCTATCCGAAGACTTGCCCCAGCTGTACACACAATTAAGTCCCAACACAAACTTTTCCCCTTGCGTGAAGGCTCTGCATATACGTATCTAAGCCATAACAGTAACTTACGACAAAAGCAAGAAACAATCACTCGTTCCATACCTGGGATCATTAATAACTTTTACTAGTGCTTCATACAATTCACTCTCAGTGACAGTCTTCCAGTTCAACAATATTCCCATGCCTTTGGCCTGTACTCGGGTCATAGTATCGTAATGGTCTCCAAAAAGGGGAATTCCCACCACCGGGACCCCATGGTACATGGTTTCAAAAATGCTGTTCAAACCGCCATGACTAAGAAAAGCTTTAATGTTAGGGTGACCTGAAAATAGAAGAGGCATGAAGACAAGAAGAAACTTTTACATCTCCTTAAGGTAAAGTTATCAAAGCAAATGGTACAACACATTTATCACTGGGTTCCTATGACTCCAATTCGGGAAAGCAGAATGAATCCAATTTGTTCTGAAGTTCCCCTCCACTTAAACTCACTCTGCAGAAATTTTGCATGCATTAGATTATATCCTTATATACAAATCGAGACGAAATGGCCAAGGCAAAAAAACAAAATTCTCATGTATACAAGTTGTGTGAAATTATTAATGGATTAACTAATACACTGTCTACTCCTGAGTAACTGCAGTTGGTGACTACAACTGTTATTTACCTATTTAGCATTACAAATGAACCAGGGAGAGAGCATTTTTCCTCATTGTTCATATGAAATACAAGCTATTTAATGACGGGACAACTCATGTTGCATTCTCTCTAAAGCTTCACATGCCTTACTTCAGGCTAGCAAGATATGACAACAATGACAGCAATATACTACTGCTACTTTGCAATGGAAAAATGAGACTGCCTCAGAGCAATTTAGTAACCAAAACAAATCTACCTGGTTTAGAAGTCATTTGCCTAATCACTACATTATGATAAATACTCTGGTTGACATGCACGTACATTGACGCGCACACATTCTTAATGCATTCATCAGCACTCATCGCAGTACAGGAGTTATTTTGCAAACACAAATAGGCGTCCCAGAGACAACACTAAGCACTTTGCAGTCCCTGGGATCCAAAATATTCAGCTACATTTCAACACAGGAAGGAGGGAAAGAAAAAGTAAATACATACACTCTAAGAAACTGTACCAAAAGATGAAAGAACATCAAGCTTTAGCTCTGCATCTGAGAACTCAGTATCTCAGCATAGTTAAACAGAGAGGTTATTATCAGCTTGCAACAACATTCCAAATTTCTGTTAAAGATTTCATTGGAGAAATATATATATATATATATATATGTATTTCTAATTAATATTAATAATAAACATATATCATTATGTTCAGAGTCTGAAGACTTGTTTTGGTGTGATGGGAACAAATTTTCAATGTCTGGTTTGATGATTCTTCCATGAAGAGACCAATGAAGACCATATCACACTTCTTCATAACCACGAAATCAGTAGTTACAGGCAGCAGATTCTAGAAAACTCCTACTTATCCTTTCTGATTATTTTTTATTTTTAACTGCACAGATTGCATACAAGATTTTGCATAGCAAATGTTCCTATTATTAAGCTAAATAGGCTTTGGAATAACTATGCTTTTCTACTCAATTGACCAAAGAAACAAAATGGAGGTGATACCAGGTAAAGAGAAGTACCATCAGAAAGATGTTTCATTTCATCATCTTGTGTGAATTCTGTATTCTTGCTCTGTGACTTGTATCACAATGACTGCTATTCAGTAGAATGTTGCTGGTTGTTGGAAGAGCAAACTGAACTTGAGTGAGAACAATCAAAGTATCATTGTTACAGATACTCACCGAGAAGGTCGTTTTGTGGTAACCATTCTATAAGCTTTGTATTGTTGCCTAGATTCCTTGGTTTGTTTCCTGAAAACCTAAAATAAAATCAAATTGAAGCTAAGTTATCAAAACCTCAAAAATTGATAAACTCTAAGCAGAGAATCAAACCAAATGATCCATGAGAGCCGAGCACATTTCTAGTTACACAGAGATACCATTTATTTACCATTAAAAGAAAATAGCCTCAACCAAAATACTATATAATTAATAACTAGAAAATGTTTTTTCATCATTCCATTTCCTTACAGCCTAGTTCAAAATTCAATGTTTTCTATTTACATTATGGCAATGCAGTTATTTCTAAAAATGTATACAACTTACCATGGTGACTGGCAGGAGGTTTCATAACCTCTCTGTGGCTCCAATTCGTTACTTTACTGAAAACACTGATTAGCACTACATAACTCTACTGAGAACATCCCATCAGCACAAAAATAATAAGCCCTATTATCATTAACACGAGACACTCGCTTTCAGTTAGCCTGTTCCTTACAGCTTTTAAGAACCGACACCACCTCATTTTAAGAGAAATTAATACTACATGGAAAGGAAAGGGTGACAGCTCAGTTTATGAGGCGAGAAGCTATTGGTAAAAAAGTTGAGATTAGACTGTAAGGTGCATTTCTGTTACTTGCCCACCTGCCTGAAATCTAATGGAAATGTCTTGGTCACCTGAGGTTTTTGGAAGTTTTATGAACAGAATACATCCTCAAACTGATTTATACATCATAGACAGTTTATATGTAAATTAAATACGTTCTAAACAAAATAAAGAGGGGGAAATAAGCTAACAGTGACTAGAGAATTTCTTAGTTTGACAGCTCCATCAGAAGACCTAAAAACACTCCTGGTTATTAGACAGCATTAGAACTGTAGCTTCATAGAGAATCACCTACAAATTCCCAATGACCTGAACCATATAGAATATATAAGCTATTTAGAAAGACATGTTAAAAAAAGGCAAATTCCCGACCTTATATAAAAGCAATTAAGCCACATTACTGGTTTTGGCTCTAACTAGTATCACATAAGCAGAAGAATATAAAGAACTGCAAAGATTCCCTTGATTTGGCATCCTGACTTAAGAGTTACAAACAGTACCACCTTTCCTATTCTCAGGAATGCCTAGTACAAAAACCACCTGCTTCCAACACAGATCATAGGTGAGCAGAAAAAAAATCTGAGTAAAATTGGACTAAATTTCATATTTAGGTGTCTAACTGTGGATCTCAAATTCCCATAGATCTGACAGAAAGCCACTCGCTCAGCTCTCCCAAAGGCCACGTCTTGCACCTAGTCCCAGAGACATCTTCCCATCGCCTGAATCATGCTGGAAAGAAAGAGAGTTAAGTTTCTTTATCCAAAAAAGCCCCTTAACAGATAATAGATGATAAAAACAGAAGAAGATATGGGAGAAGTGGGGGAAAAATGTTGCATAGACTGCTAATACAACTCTGAAAGTTCAGCAAGAACAGCAGTCAAACCATTGACCTGATGAAGTGTTACTTGGAAGCCAATGGCTCACATGTATTCCTCCGAATTACACTCCAGAGAATTACACATCCAGAGAGTGATGCTGCACATGAAACAAAGCTGGCTAAGGACAGTTGATACTGCATTTTTACAGTAACTTTAAGGAGCTGCTCAAGTTTTTACAGCCAAAAAATCTTACTGATTCTTACTTCTGCACATTTTTCTTCCTGTGATTCCTCACAGAGAAAGACAAATAAAAGGAGCAATATTGAAAGTCCCTGTTTTCAGATAGGGGGGAAGAAACGAAAGCAGGAAGGTTGGCAGGGGGAGCAAGCCTTGAATCCTTCCTTCCTAAGACTGTATCAGCAGAATGTCATTCTCACTCCCTACAGGGATTTCTTTATCACAAGTGATGAGAGCATGTCACAAATGTTATAACCTCAGAAACTCTTTTTGCTCTCCCCAGTCCTTCCAGGATATGAACTCAGCACAGGCGTATATAACCTATGCCTTATCCTGCCACGAAATCGTTGCTCTTGCTTGTTACCAGGGGAATACAGCATTTCCATACAGACTATCTTTCAAAAGAGTCAGGTCCTCTGTGCCACCCAGACTGCCTGCATTTCAGATTCTGCCTTAGATGCGACTCTAAAGATGGCACAATAGGAAGTGACTGTGCTTCAAATTACCCCAAATACATCTGTCATCACACTTACCTCCAAATAACTCTCTGAGGCAGTCTTCCCAGTGCAAGTGCTAACTTATTTGCTATGTCTTCTGACAGATATTTCACTCCAGCTCCGAATGAAACGAGGACAAAGCCATTTTCATTAGCACCATTCACCCATGCCTGGAGATCCTGTTAAAGCAAAATTTGCATTGAGCACTGTAGAAGCACAGGTGTTTACCAGCTAAATAAATAGAAACAGATTAAGTAAGCATTGCTTAGCACAATCATTTGCTGGTCCCTGGTTACTTCGTAAGGCAAGTTTCAGAAGTAAAATGTTTTGGAAATTACAAAGTACAATGACTCAGAATACAAGGTATGGGCTATGGACACCGAAATTCTGCCGGGTTTGTTTTAGCTTCCGTATTAACAACTTCCTGAGACAATTTCTTTACAGTTGACACACAAGTAATAAAAGAAAAAGAAAAGAAAAAGAAATAACTCTGCATTTTAACCCAGCAAAATATAAATAGATCTTGTAGTATCAGCCTGGTTGCAAAACACAGTAAAAACACGAAGTCAGGGACTCAATTGGTTGACCTCTGTCCTTAAAGACAGCGAGAGGTTATTTTTTATTTGACTTATAGAAAAGTAATAGAACACGACAGAACCCAGAAGCCTTCAAAAGGCACCTGCAGGCATCACGGTGCTCCAGCCCCTGGCCCGAAGAGAGGAAAAGCAAGCAAGAGAGGACTGCAGCAGTGTTGGTGCCAGCCTTCTGGGTGATGGATGGATCCCAGGGAGCGCCGTCACCTCCACCCACACAGTCAGCGAGTTACAACGCCCACCTCCAAGCGACCTTGGTCACCGCAGAAATTACAGGTGAAATTTCCCCTGGGCTTGAAGCAACCAACAAGCCATAAAGGTAGCCTGAGCCTCGCTGGCACAAGACACTTCAGGGCTGGTAGGCTTACCCACAATCCAGCCCAAATCCTGCCGGGCCCGGGGTTTTGCTGCATTGAAACCATGCTGCGCCGGGCCAGGCGCAGGTAACTTCACCCGCAGCCACTGCTTCAGGCAAGCACAGTTAAGTTACAAAGGAGACAGCAAAATCTGAACCCTGGGGCTGACTTTGTGGAAGCAGGGTTTATGTAACTGATGAAAATGCAAGCCAGCAGATGCGAGTACCTAACACCACTGGGATGGCAGAGCTCTGCAGAGTAAGAGGAAAAACCGTCTTAGTGGAGTAGATGGAGCAGAGCTGCAAGCTAAACAAGTCTCCAACACCAGAACAATGTCATTTCAGGAAAAAAAAAAAAAAAAAGGCAAAAAAAGGTCCGGTGTACCCTTGGTTTGTCAAAACCAATTAAATTTCTATTTCTAATACAACTGTTCACAGTGGAAACTAAAAAAAACTATACCACTGACCTACAGACATGTCAGTCTCCAAAGGATATCTTATTTTCCCCAGGATATGGTTTAATCCTAGTCTCATCCAAATCAAACATAAACCTACTCAGTACCAGAAGAGCAATAGGAAATGAGTAAAAGGAAAACTAAGCACTGGGTTCACAACGTGCCAGTAATGGTTCACTCTTGTCCCAGTAATAAACAGTGGGCCAGACAGTAACAGGGCAACGCTGCACTGTGGTACCTGGGTGCAAAACCACAAAAACCAGCAGGCGCAACAACGAGCTGCACATCAGGCTGGGATTGTGCAGTGAAAAAAGGGATTTCCATTTTCTCTAGACTCCATGCTTCTTCGTTTTTCTTCATCCTCTTCCAGTGCCCTTTCATTTCTATTTTTTTCCTTTGTCTGCAGAGGGAGGGGGAAGAAGGGAAGGCAGAGGGAGGGAAGTGTCTGTGACCTGCCTGGAAGCTGAATCATTTATTATTGGCTACACTTCTGGCACAGAAGTTTCCAACCGGTTTTGTGATTTAAAGTTTGTCCTTGAATTTTACTTAAGGACCTAAGGCATGCTCCAAATGTAATTATATTATAGTCGCGTAGCGGTTCAACTACTTACATCTTGAGCTATTTCCTATCTCTTCTTTAAAGCTAAAAAAAAAAATCCACTTTGGGGGCTTCAAGATAAACTTTTCTAAAAAGCAATTGCCTACTACGCTCTAAAAGACCTATCTGTGCCTGTCTGTAGTATTTCATCAAGTTATATTCCAGGAGCTGAAGTCACCTATTACGAGGTGGACTTTTTTAGGCTCGCTTGTCTCCCAGCCCCTGCGTACCCTGCACTCCCTTTGCTAGGCACCCTTTGGTAGGCAGGTTGCAATTTATTTCCTAGGATGTGCTTTCAGTACGACTAATCTTTTGAGCTGGAGCTCCTTGTGGCATTGAAAATATAAGACAAAATACATATCAGATCTGCTGATAAGCTCCCCAGCTACTATCAGCTTAAATTCAAACCAGGTCCTTCCTTTGGAAGACAGCAATGCACACACACAGCCCGCATAAATTCGCTGTGATGATGCATTGCAAGCCCCTGGGTCTTGTAAAGCCCTAAAACCTGGCGTTCCCTGGCACCACAGAAATGCCCCACAGCATGCCAAAGATAATCTCGGTGTTTCTGAAGGTGTGGAGTTCTGCCTGGGATGGGTGATGAGCCCGCAGGGAGCTGGCAGACGAAGGTTAGCAGAGCAGCACAGGCTGCAGGGTGTGTGAGGAAGAAGCGTGAGGTTTGCTTCAGACAACTGGAAGGAGCCTCTAGAGGTTCCCTGGTCTTCACAGGGGACTTAACACACCGATACCTGCTGAAACCTGGAGGTAACTCCTGTGCCTTGCTGCCAACTTCCTGACAGGCTCAAAAAGCCAGTGAGGGGAGACACTCCAGTCAGACCTCATCCTTACAGACAAGGAGGAACTGGACAGGAGCGTGAAGGTCAGGGCAGCCTCGGCTGCTGTGACCGTGAGATGGAGTTAGCTGTTCAGGACGCTGAGAGGACAAGGAAGGCAATAGCAGGATCTCCTGGACTTCAAGAGAGCCAGCTTTGGTCTCTTCAGGAAGATGCTTGGAAAAAAAAAAAAAAAAAAAAAAAGAGATGAGATACAGCCCTGGAGAGAAGAGGTGTTCAGGAGAACTGGTTGATAGCCAAGCATCACCCCTTCCAAGCTCAAGAGCAGCTGGAAATGTGTTTGCTTTAAAAAGACAAAAACTCAGCACCCAGCACTACTGCTCAAGTATTTCTCATGCAGCATCAGAAATTCCTATCATTTCTTATGCTTGGTCAGACATGGGGTTTCTACTAGGGATCGGCTCGTTCCAGCTCAGACAGGGCTCCCAAGGCTCCTGCCCTGCCCTTTGTGCCTAACTGGGAATTGCAGGAGACTTCACAACTCCGTGATCCACTCACAGAATGACAAATTACATGTCGTTACGCATACAGCCAGGACGTTTCCTTGTAATGGCATTTCTAAAACAGCATTTGAAAAGCCCCGTGCCTGTAGCACAGCTAATAGAATTACAATTCTCAGTACTTAATAAGTACTGAATAATGTAGGAAGAAAAAAAGAGACTTTACGCCATACTGTGGCATTAGAGTCACCCTACAAACAGGCTTTTGCATTTCATTACTGTGCAACAGCAAGGCAACCTGCTTTATGTTATTATGACTCACTTCACGGCCAAACTTTTGTAACTCTTCCCTTTGAAACACGTCTCTGGTTCAACAGGACATAGCATGCAATAAATGTATAAACATTACGAAAACAGTCTTTCCACTGAGGAACTTAAAATCTTGACAGGCGAGACAAGAACCTGCCATCGGGCTCCAACAAACAAGTGTTTGCTGTCTTCGGTAAGATTATAGAAATTAACAGGATGAATTGGCTCGTTTTGTGCGAATTGCAGCTTTTTGAAGGGACAGGTGAGACGGGGTTTGCCGTGCTTTGAGCTGGGCAGGCGCGGACCAACTCGGATCCTCCAGGGGTGTCCGTATTCATCGTACTTTGACATCAACTGAAAGGCTCTTCTTTCACTCAGATTTGTTCGAGTTTTCCTTAAGCTTTAATTCATGCTGGCAGCAAGAGGAATTGCTCGTCTGCCTTCTGATACGCAGCCCCCTTCCCAGCTGCCTCCCCAGAGGGGTGCTGGAAATCAGCGCGATGCAGGAGCTGCAGAAAATGAACTGCAGACTTGTCAGAACACGGGTTCTCCTTGCATATATTTGTATAATTTCTGGCAGAGCACAGCATTAATTAAATAGGATCACTAAGCATTGCTAAAACTGCAAGTCAGGATAAAAGGAGGAAATGAAGGATGGGGGAACCAATATCCCCTCCTCGTAAGGCCACCAGAGTTAGTGACCTGAAGGATTCTCTCTCTCTCGGGCTCCTTTAACTTTCTGAAACTATTTCTCCAGGCAGTTTTCACTACGGATTTTCTAAGATAAAGTTCTAGCACAACTGAATCCAAGTGAGTGGTGTTTGTAGATCATTGGTTGCAAAACAAATCTGCATGTCCTGCTACATTAGCTGGGCCGTGGTACAAAGGCTCAGTATTTTCTTCCCCCGTTCTTTGTGTGTCCTACAAGGTATGGGAGCGATACAGCGGATAAAAAGCAGATTCTGATCTTGGCACATGGAAGAGGCCACTCTCGGTACCAGAGCTACATACTTCATTGGTGCAGATACATTCCTAATATTTACTTTATGAAGCATGCAGCAGGAACTGCGATGAAGGATGAGCAGCCCCAAACTTTTGTTTTTCTCTAATCTTGCAAAACCTGAGTCACAGAAGAGAACACAGTGATGCAACAGGACTTCTTTTTGCCTAAAATTTCAACATACCTAGCCTTCTTCAACCTTTTCTTCAAACTTCAGCTGAACACAGATGCACCTTTGGGTTTTATAATTAATTCAAGCTTTACATACACGTGGCAAAGACAAACTAACTTTTCCAGTGACTGTTGCAGAGTCCTTGCCCGTCTTTTTTCTTCAGGTGTAAGTATTTTCCGGTTTTGTTGCGTAGAAGGAAAACCTCTTGCCTCAGTTACTTCACATCCTAGCACCGCCAGCAATTGCAGACATTTCCTTCACTGAGGCTACCCTGCACACTTGAGAAACCAGACACTAAGAAGCACAGGCTTTGTTTCCCCCTTTCCAAAATAGGAATCAAAACCTGAACAGCTAAAACCCCAAAACCATGAAGTACCTGACAGCAAGGTCCTCAGAAGAAGGT